ATCCGACGAAGGACTTTTTTAAAGTCTACGTCCCTCATGAAGACCGACACAGTGACATTCCCAAAGGTGTCCGTCTTAGAGAGTTGACTGTGTCTTTTTGCTGATGATATTCAACACTCACTGTCGTCATCAGTGCCAGTGAAGATAGATAGATAGATAGATAGATAGCTAGATAGAAACAAACAACAAAATCCTCAAGCGAGTGAGTGAGCACCCAACAGCCCCAAACAGTCAGGCTAGTTTTTTTAGACCACACGAAAGTGGAAGGAGTGGTCGACTTTACATGCCTAGCTACGTCAACCGCAACGGAAACAGTGAACCTTGAACGCAAACTGAACTGTCCAATTGACAGTTATCACGAACCTTAGGTAGGTAAAAATTCCCAATCTGACTATTTAGTATCGTCAGATGTATCGTGATCATACATGTACGTACATACTATCATAGGTACAGCAGTCACAAGGCAATATTGACTAAAACGAATAACTAACTGGTTGCCCCCTACTTTTTTGTTCTACGCTAAATAGTTTGATCGGAGTGCCTATGAACTAGCTAAAGCCAGAAGTGAAGTGCGCCATATGGTATCATACGGACCGGAGAAGACTCAAGTCTGTCAATATTCCAGAAGTGTTTGTGTATCAAGTTATTTATCTCCAAATGTCTACTAGGGGTAGCCTGTGGTGAGAGGTGTCTGTAATCGCTGGCTCATCCAGGAAAGCATTTGCGATTTTTCAAAAGGAAGGGATTTCACTCGTTTATTTACAGGCCTTTCAAGAGTACATACATATCATTGTGGTTAGTGCGACCACACACTTAATAACAGCGACAACTTTTTAAAGAAAGCTGCCAAAACCGCGGGATTTGTATCTTTCCCTTCAAGACTGTCTTGTAAAGGTAGCCATAGCATTTGCCCGGGGATATACGGTCCCTAGAGACTTAGCCTGTTCCAGGCGTTCAGATAGTGGGGAGCGGTGCGAAGTAAAAAGGAGCGCGAAAAAATAAAAGCGAGGGAAGAGGAGACCCCCTCTACTTTTCATCGCTTTCTTTTTTTCTCTTCACCGCTCTCCACTATCTGAACGCTTGGAACAGGCTACTAGAGACTTTTCGGGAGGGGGAGGGGGGCCGTGGAAGTCACGTGTTCGGTCGTCCAGAAGATTTCCCTTATTGCTGACCTGGCTAACGGCAGTGTTCTCACCAGGCCGCGGCCTTGCGGGATTCCCGCAAGAAAAACTGAAATGGCGCATTAAAACCAAGAAGATGCGCCCGTTAGGGCGCAGGGGCAAGCTATGAGTCAAACGGACTTAAGTAGTTTTAATGGTCAACCTAACACTAAAGCATTCTGTTTGTTTGAATAAATAAAAAACATGATATCAAATGAGTCAAAGTCTTTAATTTGTTGCCTTTACTTTCATTGGTCCCACGCACGTCCCACTACATCGTAAACTCCTCCTCCGAATCGTAAACACCTCTTCCGCCATATTGGATCAGGTAGGTACGTCATGTAACAGACAATTTGGAGTGCGGGCTCAGGTTCTTCGTACCGCGTGTTTTTTGTTGACAAAGAAACAACTGATGGCGCAGCGAAAATTAGATAGTTTCTTTCGCCCTAAAGCCCCTAGACTTGAAGAAAAAGTGGAAGATGATGGAATTTCTGGCGACAAAGTTACTTTGTCCCCCTAATGTTCTTACAGGGCCCCTATAAACCGTAAACCCCGTAAACCTTGTTAAGCTCAGGGGAGGGTGATCCGTAAAATGTTCTGGATGGGAAATAGAATAGAATGAATACGTGTAGAGAGTTGTGGAGAGAAGAACTCCGATAAAAAATCCCGAGTTGCAGCTGGGAAATCGAAGTCAGAAACTTCGTTGGATGCTCTTATTAAGTACTGGGAACCCCGGCCCTAGTGGTCATTGATGATCTTCTATAGGTTGCCAGGCAACTACTGCTTCGTGCAGTTATCAAATTATTTCAATGAACTTTGACTAACGTGGTCAGGGGAGGGGTAGTAGGGGAGGGGTATTTGGACAGTTTCCAAGAGCATCAAGATCCAACTTCTAAAGTCAATTCTTCTAAGGGACAATATAATAACCACGATGTCCTTTCTTCGTGCTTTCGGTTCCTTCATTCCCCTCCCCCTCCCCCGTCATTCATTTTTTTTTGCTCTTATCCCAGCTTTCTAGACGAACCTCGCGAGAAAACCCTTGCTACGCAGGCTATAAAACCAGTTGTTAATAATCTCGTTAGCAAGGATTCGCCTGTATATCTACCAACCCCGTTTTCAGTGTGTGCATTTCCCGTAATCTGGAAAGACATGCCACCAGACGTCAGTTAGGACACTGCTTCTATGTAAATCAGACTGACAAACTACTAAAGGTTTCCCAAAACACATTTTCAAAATTTTTCTCTGAAAAAAACTCTACATGTTGAGCCGTTTCATCAGTCCCACACAAAGCGTAGACTGATGGGAGTTTCACTGATAAGTCTGATAGGTGCCATGTCTAAAAGAGACGGCTCGACTGTGGGCCCTTTTCTTGAAAACTCCAATCGGACCAGGAGGTTTTCTAGTCTTTCTAGCTCTTTCGAGACTGCGTGCTGAACTCCTGCTGGTAATTTCTGAGGACTTACTGCAGGTCAAAAATTGTTCAGGGTTGTTTAAGTTTTTAAATTCTTAATTGTGTACACATACCTACTAAAACATGCACGTATTTCGATTATTAGTTTATAGGAGCAATATATATTTATACCGCCGCCCGGTTAGCTCAGTTGGGAGAGCGACGGTCTGCTGAGCGGGAGGCTCAAACCCCGGTTCAAACCCCGGCCGGACCAACACCAAGGGTCTTTAAATAACTGAGGAGAAAGTGCTGCCTTTGTAATAACATCTGCAAATGGTTAGACTTTCTAGTCTTCTCGGATAAGGACGATAAACCGTAGGCCCCGTCTCACAAGCCCTTGCACATGTAATAAATCTGTGGGACGTTAAAGGACCCACACACTCTTCGTAAAGAGTAGGGCACGTAGTGCCCGGTGTAGTGGTCTATCTCACTTTCACACTCATGTATGGGGGCATCATCACTCATTCCTTCAGTACTTGTAAACTGCACCTTAAGCAGTCTGGCAAAGTCCCCCAACCAGTGTTGTAAATTATCCCTGACAAGCCCTGTGGGGAGTGGATAATAGGATATTTACAATTTACAATTTAGTGTCGGAATTAATAGAAGAGAAACTAAATCAAAACTGACAGGGCATAGAATGAGTTAAAATCTGACAGGGAAACGGACAAAATGGACTAAAATAAACTAAGTATTTTAAATGGTTGAAGTCGTAAATTTGGAATAATTCATAGTATTGTCAACATGGTTGGTAAGTAAACCCAAAAAATGAGATCTTACTATGATACA